AGGACTCATGGCGTAAATGGCAGGAGCGGTTGATTAAAAATGTGCACAATAGCTTCATTATGACATGGGGAGAGATGTCCGCGGTTATTTTTAATCTGATAGCTTTTAAATATGTGCATCCAGCAGAGACCCAAATGGCCTTTAAAAAGAGAAACTATTTGTGGGATAAGAGGTTTAGACTCCACTTCATTCTTTCTAACGAGCCGCAAGAGTCAGTTCGAGCTGGAAAATGAACTATAACCCTTTTTTAAGGCTTTGACTCCTCTAAAGCTGCAGGCTTTCAGTGTGTGAACATATACAGAGTGAGAGAAGATGGAGGGTTTAGGTTTTCAGGTGAAGGAAAGAGAAGGAACTGTATTTTGAAGTTGGGGGTTTTTATATTAAAAAAAAGAAGTCTATTTTCAATTTGTTTGGTATGATCCAAGCACTAGACAAGTTGAACAGTTATAATTGCACGCCCCTGCTGATGGAGCCTGCCTGCCATTGAGCTGTGCTGCAGTGACAAAACCATGACCAGGAGGTGCAGAAGCAGCGGCTGGTTATTTTCCATCTCTGGAGCCTCCCTTGTGTGGGTTAGGTGCGGACAGTGAGTGAGGAGGACCCGACAGCTGGAAAGTCTGCCATGACTGAGCTCTGTAAACGGCTGAACTTTCACTTTGACTTTAAAGTAAATAATTTGCTGCTGGGTTAGGTTGGTGGAATTCACCAGCACGTGCGTCTTTCAACTTGAACCCAAGTAGAAAGTGACCGTTTGCAGTGGTGGACGTTGGGCTTTGACTTGCCGGCTTTCTCCTAAGCAGCCTAGTTTCTTCGCCCACAAGCACATAAGCTGATTTATCTGCCTTCCCTTCTGCCTCTTAATCCGCTGTTGTTTAAAATCTGCAGTTCTTTGCTCACCAGATTTAGCTTTCCGTTGGCACACTGGCAGGCAGCACTGCTTTGCTGGAGCTGGCGGAGCTGCCGGGGGATGAGGCGGCTCCCAGCCGGCCATGGCCTCCCCAGCCCGGGGGGCTCAAGGGGCTCAATGGGTGCCAAAAAACCCCCTCTGGCAGTGGGACTGCTTGGAGCAGGCGCGTAACGTGAGCTTTCTCATGTTGTGTGTGTGGTCGAACCCCAGACGCGTGCCGGCCGGGGAGACGAGCCTGAGAGCTGAGCGAGGCCGTGACTCAACAGCTGGAGCACGTTCAAGCACAATGGAGCGGGAGCCTCATTAATAGGGGGATGGAATTAGCAATGAAATGAGTGATGTATTAAAACGTCCAGTCAGAAATCAAGAAACTCAAATCCATAGTAAAGTAATTTTGAAGGGATTTTTTTTCCCCCAGTTGTGTACAGCAGCAGAGCATCCAGACAGATGAGATAAAAGGGGATGGAAAGTCAGCAGTTCCTTTGAGACAGAAACACTTTGATACAGCAGTATTTTTTTTTCCCCACTTCCAGTTGAAATCACTCCATTGAGTTTATTACCCTGTCTTTTCCCATTCATCTTCTAAATGTTTGGACACTGCATAGAAGTAAGTACAGGGTACTCTTCTGCGCAGCAGAATGGAGAAGGAGAGGTTCAGAAGGCTGGTGCTGAGACTGCAGTTAAACACTGTTGGTTATTCATCAGTAAGAGGCGAGGGTAATACGATAGAACAATTTCCAATGGGCAGACTACCAAGCTCAGGTACAACCTCAATGCTGCATTAAGGGGTTTGGTTACTGTCGGCAGGCAGGAAGGCGCAGAGAGACGGGAGAAGCTGCTTGAACACTGCCATGGCTCTATTTTCTGATTCTCTCTGTATGTTATCAAATTATTTGATCTGTAAGGGCATGCTGTGCTATGCTGTTTGAACTTTTAAACTCGACAGACATAGGACATGTTAGATATTTGAATTAGTATAGAGTGTGAAGAAGTTGACTTTCTCGAAGCAGACCAGTGCTATGGTAACCAGCCAAGGAAGTCTTGCTCAGCTGTGCTTTTTGCAGGAGAGGTTCAGTCATTGTCTGTAAAAGCTTAGGTAACTTACACCTTTGAGCTAGAATACCTTCCTATTTAAGTGTAACTTCTCTTTTATACCACTTCATCCAGATTCATTAAAATGCAAATTCTGTTTATAACCTGTGAATGATGTATCTGCTTGAAAACCATAAAGCCCATCGTGCTGAATAATGTCTGTTGGCATTCCCTGAATATATTCACAGTAGCTCCACCGCTTGATTTGTGAATACGGGGAGAGGGACGAGGGCCTGCAGTATGATGGAGATGCTCTACTGGAGTCACTGACTCACCCTCTGCTCTGCTTAGACAAGTTGCTTCACCTTTGTGCCTGCTTCCCATCTGTAGAGTAAGGTTAAGACCCAACTGTTTAAGGATGAGAAAGATATGTTTGTAATGTGCTTGGAACAAGAAAAGTGCTATTTTAAGTGCTAAGTGTAATTGAGCATAAGAGGATATTGGTTTGTGACTCATTTGTTTAACTGCAAATGCATCAGAAACTTATGAGCAGATGAGATATGGAAAATGCTTGTTGTAGATGGAAAGACATGGTAGTGAAGAGCTGCTTTAATTTGTGATCTTCAAACCAGGGCTGTTCAAACAATGACGTTTATTATTTTTGCAAATGTCAGCTGGTTTACTTCATTAGTACTATTTTAAGTAGTCCCTATTCGGCACCAGCCACTTGCTCCTGTCCTTGCTCTGCAGGTCTGTGTCCCCTTGGAGCATGGCGCGCACATGATTTGGTGTTTGATGGGACAGAAGGGTAAAGAGAGCGAAGGGCAATGGTTGGGGGGTGGTGGCGAAGGGAATCCGCAGTCAGCAGAAGAAACTTTCTCTGTTGACAAGATGTCATCTTTTAGAGGTTCCTGACCATGCACACACATTGGTTCAGCTGTTCATGTGCTTGCCCCATAAAGGTGGGTAGAGATGTCTGGTGGGAAGGAGAAAAGGAAACTGCAGTCTTCTGAAATCTTTCTCCCTTAAGAATTTCTTGTCCCTACAAGGCAAAATTATCACCATGACCAACCAAGGGATTTGTAGGTATTGAATATTTTCTTACTCAGACTCGCAGTTTGGATCTCACTGCGTGGAGGAGCCAGATGCGATTTGTTGCTGCTACCATTATTTCCCTGTAGATTAATTATTGTAATTGTTTGCCAGTTCTAGAAAAAAATAAATTCAGAGCCATGACTTCTCTTGGCAGGCATGCGTACGCACGCGTGTATAGAAATTCTCATATGGTGTACGAAATAAATACGAATTATTTTGGGGGGAGGAGCATGCAAGAGCATTATCACAGCAGCCAAGAACTGCTTTCAGTGGTGACCTTCAGCACCCCGTGGAGCCAGAGAGGTTTTACAGGGTTGGAGATCCCCTTGTCGATGTAAAGCGATGGCGTAAATTGTTGCTAAGTTAGGGTGCCAGCTGCTGTAAGTGATCCTTCAGAGGCCAACCGATATGTCCGGCTTTACTGCACTGACCAAGGTTTTTAGTGCCTCCCTCCTCAGTGCATTAGAAAGGACTTTATGATACCAAGAAAACTTTGAAAAACATTTACTCCTGTAAATGGAGAACAGATCTGCAGCCAGACTAGATTATAATCAGTGCTGATGCAGCTTCCATTAATAGGATGCCTGCAAAATTTTGATCTAGAGGATGTAACTAGTTAAGAGTTTTGGCTCTGGTGAAGGTGTTAATAGCAGGGTCTTAACACACTACCAGAAAACTAAGTTTAAAGGGAGACAGCCCTTATGGGGAGGCAAGCACAGGTTCTTTCCCTTGAGTTGTGGTTAGGTAATTTCTGAGTATGAGGGGCGGTGTTTGTGCTGCAGTGTGGCATTTAGCTTCTGGGTGTTGGATTTGACTCAGCAGCCTTTTCTGTTTGCAGTCTGCATGCTAAGAAGGCTGTGCAGTGCTGCATGCATGGGACTGTGTCATTTTGACGCATTATAGCCAGTGCAGTCAGTTCTCAAATAATCGAAAAGAAAAATGAAACCTACGGCAAAACTGCTTACTTTTCTTGATAATGTAGTTAAAGACAAGTTCAGTATCTTCTGCTGAATTATCTGGGTCACTAGAGAGCAATTTAGACCTTCACTTATTAAAGTGCCCTTTGCTCAAAATACATTCTAAGTTGCTTTCTACAAGGCAGCTTACTTTTATTTAGCTTCTTGTCTAAACAGGTAAAAATATATTTCAACAGTAAGTCTGCATATGGCATGATTGCAAACCCTTGAGACTTCTGCTTTCGATATTCAAAAAACCACCAAAATGCGATTTTTAAAAGGGTTGAGCAGTTCTGTAATTAAACTTCTTCAAGGATGCCCTGGTATTGAAGTGGTTCCTCTCTAGTTCGTCTGGTACACATGAAGTGAAGCCCACTGTGAACGACAAGGGCTGGCATTTTTGTTCAGATTATCCATGCAGCCACATCCAATGCTACGAAGTGAGTAGAGATCAGCAACCTGGGAAAGGCATCACATTGGACTGTGTTTTTCTTACCTGAAGCAGGCACCAGTCCTGGGTACCAGGCAGAACCCTGCCTGCACACCCGTGGTGGCTGCTGACCCCCAGCCAAGTCACGGGCAGGAGCTCTGCTCTGCCAGAGGTCTGTGAACAAGTCACTTCATCCCCTTGACTCAGTTGCTCCTCTGCAAAAGAGGGATGATGATTACCTCCTTTGTAAAGTACTTTGGGATGGGCTGGAGATAAGTGCTTTTAAGAGAGGTGGTTTTCCTTTTCTCTCTCCAAGGCACAGAGCAGTAGCAATCCCACTGTTCCTGCCTTTGCACTGCAGTGTTGCTACCTCCGAGGGGAAGCAGGAAATGATGGTGATACTGTGATTGGAAACATAATACAGAGCCACAATTACTATTTTTTTATCCTGTTCCACTCAATAAATTTACATGATTGCAATGTTTTTCATAGGCTGGTCTTCCAGATAATACTGTAATACAACTTCCCTGGTTTCGACAAATTTACCCTAATCCAGTAACGCATTTCTGTGTCTTTCTAGATTCTGAGCGTTCCCATCTCTCCTCGTTCACTATGAAGTTGAAGGGCAAGTTTCATTCACCAAAAATAAAGAGAACCCCTTCAAAGAAAGGAAAGCAAGCTGACCTGACAGTGAAAACACCAGAGAAGTCAGTGAATAAAGTAAGCAGACAAAGGACATGTTCTGTTAGTTTTGCTGTTTTCTTGCTTGTTTGGTACTCAGTTTATCGAAATCTGCAGCTCCGCTTTTAGTGCGTGACTTTGTCCTCTGCAGAATTCTGCAGATTTTTCAGGGATTCACAGGGTTACTTTATGGTTAGTTATAAACTGCACTGTGTAGTATAAAATAAGAGCAAGCAAGGCATCTACTTTCCTTTGGAGAATCTGATGAGACCTCCTTCCATAAGTGTTTCAATATCTCATTATGGAATGTAGTGTATGGCCTGATGCCTCCTCCCTGCATGCACACCCTATGGTTATACTTACCACTTCCAAATAACCGCCTGGTTTTGGGGTGTGATCCTTTTAAAACCCCCAAAACCCAGGCGAGCAAATCCTTGAATCGGGTCCAAAGATGTGCTCAATCTCTGACGACATCAACAGGGAGAGTCAAACAGATGCGTTCCAGCAGCTGCTGATTGTAGCACACCGTTCCTCAGACCCGATGTACTTCAAGTCCTCTAAGGGCTGAGGTCACCGCTCTTTCCCAGCACAAACACATCACAGTGTTATCTCCTCTGCTGTTGTGACCTGATTATGTAGACTGGAGACTGGCTCTGTAACAGTACTGTTGCAGTCAGTTTTCAAGTATAAATCTAAGCCAAAATTAAGAACAGTTGAGGTTATTTATGATAATTCAAAATCTTTCCTAGTTGTTGTTGAAAGTCTCATCCAACTTGCAGTGCCAGACATGCAAACTTTTTTAGACTATCTCTGCTGAGGGTTGTTGTATTGTTATTGAGAGCAGTAAGCAAGATACAGTTATCTTGTGCTGTGTGATGTGCTTAACACCCAGAGCAGTCGCTGCGGGGCCTCCTAGACCTATTTTGCACCATCAGGTGGAAGATGATGAGGCCTTTATTTCGCAGACTGTAGTTGGGTTTGGGTTTTTTTCCCCCAGGAGGCTATGGATATACTTTCTAGGGAGCCAAGCACCTCGTATTGCTGACTGCTACTGAAAAATAAAGAGAAAAAAAAAGTCTGGGAGTACTTCTTGAAGGCTTTTAATTCCAACGATGTTTCAGGATGGTATATTGAGATAATTTAGAGGCCTTTCTTTAAATTGATATGTGACCTCATATTAGAAAATGAAGACCCCTTTCCAAAAGGCTGTTCTATAGCAAATATATGTTAGCATGTTCATAATAGGTGAAGTTCGTGCCTTTCTTTCTTTCTTCTGAAAACAATGCAAGAGGATTTACTGATAAGGCTGAACATGTAAAACCTTTATTATGTACATATTGGGATTTTTTTTAATTGGAAAACAAAATGCAATAATTTTTATTACTGAACATGATTATTTAAGCTGTATACATTTTTATACTGTGAAATATTGTTGATTTCTGGCTTATTCCTTATCTATTTTAATAGCTACTCTTCAACTAATCAGTTAATTGGATGTCGTCAGCTCATTAGCTTTGTGTGGAGGGAGTGGGGAAGAGTACATGCCTGGATTATCATCAGGTTCTCTCACTGGAATATATACATCAGTTGACAAACAGGAGATTTTTCTGTCAGAAGACACACTTGATAAACCAAATATCATCCTTTCCTCCCTCTTAAGTACTTAAGATGCTATTTTTATACTCTTGAAGTAGATAATCACTGTAAAGCAGAAATAGCAATACCTAAAATTAATGTAAAATCAGTACGCGTAGCCTGAAGGTTACGCTCAACCCCTGCAGACATCTTCTCCTCTTCCCCTTTATACCTACATGTGAGAAGTGTAGGGGGAGGTTTTTTTCCAGAGCCTCCTTTGTCCCCTGGACACTGTCTTCGATTCTTACCGTAGGGCATATTGTGGGAACAGTAGTGCCTTTCAACACTATATGCAAAGTTATAATAGGTTTTTCACTGCCAAAATGCAGGAAAAAAAGGACTGTTCCAGGTTTTGTAAGCAGGTGTATTCTGCACAGTTCGCTGTAACCCTTTCTGGGTCAGCTGTCTCTCATACATGATGCATTTCTAACGATTATTTAAGGGAAAACTTCAAAAATCATGCAAAAATATCTGTGTGTGTCAGGCAGGCAGGGTAGTGGAGAGGAGATGCCATTTTGCCTGAATGTTAAATTTATCTTATTTAATGCCCAAAAGGGCAATGGGTGAATGCTTTAGCAGCTCTCACAGTTACCGCTCTGCTCTCTCCCTGCGATAAGGTAACCGCTGGGGCAAATTCACCTCTATGGAGAAATGAAGTGAGAGATTAGTTTGGGTCCTCTCTGCCAACCCAGAGGGGTACCACTGCATGTTTACTTTGGCTTTAGGGACACACTGAAACGTTTGGTGGAAAAACTTAATACCTTTAGTCTTGTGAGATGCAGACACTGGAATATATTAATATCCGTCCATCCCACCAGGTTATTACTCTTTTCTCTAGATTTATTGCTGCTGTTCTCAGGCCTCAGTGAGTAAAGCACTGAACACAAGAAACTTCAGCCTCGTAGCAGCAACTGAGCTCTGTAGCAGAACCTGCAATGCTATGTAGGATGTATAGGCTTTTCTTGTGTGTGTTTGTGTGCACATGTATACACACATACATATGATACCTTTGGACCTTAGAAGGGGATTCATAAAAACTGCTTGTATGGACTGTCACCCAAAGAGCTAGCAGGGAAGTTGAAGGAAAAAAAAAAAATTAAAAGAAGGGCTGTGTCCCAGATAGTGTCCAGTGGCTGGATTTGCATGCCTTGACGTGCTCAACAGAAGGATTTGTGTTTCCACTTGTCGTTCTCAGCCTGAACTCTGAGTCAAGCCCATCCCTCCTATGCGCCAGGAGAGTGTTTAAGCTATTAAGTCGCAAGCCTTTCTGCAGGAAACAGTTGTTGAATGAAATACATAAACAGCCATCAGAGCAGGAACTGCAATCCACATTTTTTCACTTCTGTTCAAGAGCTCTGACCACTGGGCCATAGTCATACTCTCTTGGGGAATATACAGGCTCTCTCATATGAAATGTGTGGTCATTTCATATGATATGCAAAACCTTCACAGGAGGGACTGAGTCTCTCCATATCCTGGAATAAACTGTGCAGTGGTGAGGACAAATGCTTGAAAAATGGGAAATGTCATTTTTGACATCAGCGAGTTGCCATGATGCTCCTCAGCAAGGGAGTTCGAGGTGCTGTGGGCTATAGAGCAGAACTTGAGGGGCCTGGCAAGTAATATTGTCAAAAAGTGGAAGCAGCAGCAGAGTTTGGAAGATGAGATGAAAATGACAGGGTAGTTTGCAGATCTTGGATGGGACTTCTAAAGTTGGAGCTAGATGGGACTTGGAACTCTAATCCTTTTATGCAACTGGCCCCAAATTACTAACCAGTGCTGCCTATAAATTGTTCTTCCTAAAATCTTTTGGGCTGCTGGCCCAATTTTGCAGAAAAGCAGCAGTTTAACAGCTGACAAGAGTATGGGGAGCACACAATGCCCATAGGTCATTAATTCTTGAAGCTGAATTTACTGAGGAGATAATGGATGAAACCTGGCTCTGCTAAGCTCTCTGCTCCTTTTCTAGCAGTGTTTAGTAGTTAATTTAAATCTCACTTAGGAACTACTTGTGGTATTAAAAGTCCTCCAGGCATATTCTGGTAAACTCCTTAAAAATATCCCTGTCCAGAATGCCATTAAGATACCGTGTATCACTTCTGAATTTCCTCTTCTAGTGTTGGTGGTGGCATGGAAGTTGGTGACCACAACTCAGCTTTATTCCAATGAATTGCTCCCTTCTGCAACATTCATTCACTGATGCCAAAATTTAGCTTCCACAGTCTGTCCCCATGGAAGGCGTGTGAGTTCCCTTGTTCCAGCAGCATCACAAAATGACTTAGGTTGGAGGCTGATCAGAATGGTTTTTATTTGGGAACAGAGAGACAAAACTATAGTCCGCTTTCATAGAAGTAGGCATATTACAGTCAGCAGAATTACTCAAAATAATAAGGGTGAACACAACATATGTCACTGAAACTATCAGGGATGGATACAAAAATGGAGGCCTCTTGTTTGGATTGTTCTGGAATGTGGAAGTTTTTCTGATTGTGATTTTTTCCCTTTGGCTGATCCACTGCATTTTCTGATTGAAAAACCTTTTCATAGGGAGATGTGCTTAAGGTAAAAGGATTTTGATTGCATCAGAGGGCCAACTCTATTTAAAACCAGCAGTTGTTGCTTCCTTTCTTGCATTATCATTACTATCTGCATTTGGTATATTTTTTTTTCCACCCTCCCAGTTTGGCATGTGGGTTTCAAAGCAGTGCCCTTCACATCATCAGTAGCGTCAATCTTGGCCTAAAACTGATCAAGATTAGACTTCAGCTTGGAATGCACGTAATTCAGAAAGTTAAAGTGTGGGTGCAATTTTGTACTGACTTCTTTTGAAAGAGTATTAAGTCAGTTTAAAAGAAATTGTGGTAGAAGGGGTTTTCTCCACTCCTCGTGGAATGTACCTCATTCAGTATCGCCGTACTTCAGGTAAGTTAAAGTAACCTTGCCCTTAAAAATCCTGAGGTTTTAACATCTCTCTCCTTTTTTCCTCCTCTTTAGAATGTCTCATGGCTAGAGGAAAAGGAGAAGGAGGTCGTCAGTGCATTACGCTACTTTAAGACTATTGTGGACAAAATGGTAATTGATAAGAAAGTATTAGAGATGCTGCCAGGCTCAGCAAGTAAAGTGCTGGAAGCCATCCTGCCCTTGGTGCAAACTGATCCACGCATCCAGCAAAGGTGAGTTTCCTTCTTGGGTTTTGGGACTCCCAACAGACCAACAGGCTCCCAGCTTCTTCCCTTGTGTCTGAAGAACCACATCCTGCAGGAGACAGGAAATGCTGCAGTTGCTAATGAAGTGGCTGCTATTTTTACTAATTATGTGGTAGTTTTCAAACATAATTTAAAAGCAGATTCCCTGCTGCGAAGAAGCCAGTGCTGTGGAAAGATAAAGCAAATCTGAATGGTTTCAGAGAGAAGGAAGGGCTGATTCTTAGCATAACCTTGGAAATTCATCATTTACTAGCGGGAGATTCTCCTCAGATGCTATACTGTTTCTGCAGGCCATGACAGTATCCTAAAAGCTAACAAATCCAACAGCTTTTACCTGAAAAAGAGTTTATCTTCAGAGTAATTCCTCTTTGTGTTCAGTTTATCCACCATGATTCTAGAGAAGTCTGAGACTGCACTCTTAATTGCTTTTTTTGATTTTACTGGATCAGATACAGAACAGAAGTAAGCAGATGTACTTCAGTAGATTAACCAGTCCAAGTTCATTCCTGTGCACTCTTGACAGATTATTTGTTTTACATTTTAACAGATTAGGTGTATTATGTTTTAACCAGTTAGTTTGTTGGAAGCCAGAAGAGAAGTAGAAATTTGCCACAGAAAGCTCAGCATGGATTATAAGAATTTGTGGAGTTGCCAAGCCATAGAGATATAGCTGCTGTTCATCCCATAGATGCTGGAGCCATTGATTTACACAAACCAAGTAAACATCATTGAGTAATACAGAAAGAGCAAAATTAGCACACACAGAGAAAAGCACAAAACAAGGCAGAGAAATGCAGGTGGTTTTTGGTTCCTGAAATCCTGCCAAGTTTTGTGCTGTTCCTAGTTGTTTTCCCAATAAGTATCTCCAAAGTTTTTGTTTCAAGATGCTTCTGGTGCAAGAAAGGTTTGTAAGTGAGGTCCAGACAGCAGTAGGGTGCCAAATATTTTGCAAACAGAGATGCTTCGCTATGTTTGGCCCTAATGTATAGGCCAGGGTTGTATCTGACGGCACGAAAGGAAGGAGGCAATGGGTGAGTATTAGAGCTCTGGCTGGGCAGGAGAGATTCGATTTAGGTTAGATTTATAGAAGTACAAAGAACAATAGCTGTTAGAATGGGAACATTCATCAGGCTTCTGGATACAGACACAAAAGTTTCTTTGGTTGCTATCAGGTTTCCCACAGCCATTGAATTCCTGACAAGTACCTACTTTCACTTAATAAAAGAAAGAACAAACTTTCCCCTTACACTAGGAGAGCGTGCAAAATGTCAGCAAATATTTTTAGGATAGAACATGTTGTCTTTATAGTCACTTGTTTTGATTTACGTATCCACTGGGTGTTCGCTGGGTGATCTTCCTTTCCGAGAATATATTTGGAAATAAATATCAACTAAGTGGTCTTCAGTCGCAGCAGTATTTCAGACAGTTTATTCTTCAGATTCCTTATACTGTCTCTCAGTAGTGAACTAACGCAACCTCGATAGTTGGGTATCCATATTTACCCATAGAAGCAGAATTTTCAGAGTCAGTAGTCAATGGAGTCCTCTACAGAGTGATAAGTCTCTCCTTCTGGAAATGGTATGTATTAACAGCACAGATCCCATATGTATGTTCTGCCTTGTTTAGCCTCACAGAAATGAAGGGGATCTGGTATTCTCAAAAAGCGATGTCTTTTCCTGTCTCCCTATGCACTTTATTTCTTTTGAGTAGTGGCAGGATACAAAGGGGTGATTTTGATAGCAAATCCCCCTCAAGAAAAGTGAGCAAAACTTGTGTCAGTGTGGAAGAAAGCCCTACAATTATTGTTGGACTTCATTTTGCTTTAGGGGAAGCATTTGCATCAAGGAAAAAAGTAATTAAATCTAGCACAAAATGGGTTTTCAATTACTGCCTCCTTAGAAGGAAGCAGACTGAAGATTAATGGTGAAGAAATCAAAGCCTTAGAAAGAGATGGGGGAGGGCCCTATTTAGGAAATATCTCCTAGCAAGCTAATTTCATTTGAAATTAGAACAAATGGCAAGCATGCTTTTTGAAAAAAACAACAAAAACCCCAACCAAACAAAAAAGTACTTGCTGTTGTTTGTATCCCCATGGTTGTAACTTCACAATAGTTCTTTCCCCAGTTCTGCAAACCTCATTCACCTAAATAATCTCATTGAAGCTTGTGGGCTTGATTCTCTTCTCACAGATAATGAAATTACTGGAGTTAAGCCAGTGTAAAATGGATACCAAAGAGAAATGGGGAGATTTGAAACACTGGTATCAGTAATGATTGCAAGATTACACCTTCCCTTATCTGTTTACGGTTTTGATGCAGTTTGAAATTGATTTAACTTTACAAAGAATTGTTGAAGCGTTGCCATCAACAGTACTGTTAACACACCTTGTTTAGTAATGAAGTATGTGCTTTCAGAATTGCCAGGAAAATGCCTGTGAGCAGTGTTGTTACAGTTAACTTTTATTTAGAGTTGTCATTCTTCCAAAATTTTTTTTTTTTTTTTTTGGAACAATAGCTTCAATTCTGTTTCTCATTAAAAGCAAAACAAAGCAACACCCTTCCTCTTCCAAACCTGAAATTCATTCAGGTCAATTTCTGTGAAGAAGCAGGTTTTAATTACATGTTTTCAGGCATCATAAACAGTGAGGAAATTATTTGTAAAGCAATAAATACAGTGAGCTCTCAATTATCCAAGACATTTTTTGGGATAGTTAATAAGGAAGAAGGAAAGCATAGATAAAACTGAACTAATATGACTTAGATTTAAATACAGAACTTAAATATTTATCTTTGAAATTAAGGCATAGGATGGAGCTGTAAATTAAAATGGAAAGCATGTTCTTTTTAGCATTGCTGTGTTAACCTGCAGCCCAGATACTCTGTTAACTGAGAACAAACCGTTGATTGTACCTTCATACTGTTGTCCCATTTGGTGCTGGAGAACAGGAGAGCAACTGCAGCAGAGGAGAAACCCAGGCTTTGTCACCTGCTCAGCACAAATTCTGAACGTCAGAGAGAAGAGGAGAACAATCACATTTTTAACAGTGTGAAATGCACTTTAAATCAAGCAGTCTTGTAACATTTGATAGTATCTCCATAATTTCATTTTGTTCTTTTTTTTCTCAACTATTTCCTCCCCTGCCATCCAGTTCTGCCATCTCATCTTGCTATAGCCGTGTGTATCAGAGTCTGGCCAATCTCATTCGCTGGTCTGATCAAGTGATGCTGGAAGGTGTGAATTCAGAAGACAAGGAGATGGTGACAACAGTGAAGGATGTCATAAAAGCTGTTCTGGATGGAGTCAAGGTACATGAGACAAATACGGTAAATTATATTATACAAAGTATATAATAATGTATTTTAGAAGAGATCTAGTTGAAAGAGGTTTTAAAGTGCAGGTAAAATATAAAGGTCCTATTCTTGCCTTCACTAAACTACCTCTTAAATCATCTGGTCCATAAGTGAAATGATCCTGCTCGGTGTGCTGGTTAAAGACTAGCACAAACCATTTGGCTATTAGTGTGCACTTCTGAAATGCTCACCCTGGCATTTGGATGAATTGGAAGAGGCAATAAATCTTTACTGAACATTGTATTATGTTTTCAGCACGTCATTCCCAGTCTCCCATGCGTATTAGGAGACAGAGTTTGCCTATTTTCTGTCTAGGCAAAATATAATTGCAATGCTTCCTTGTCAGTGGCCGCAGAGAATCAAAGACTCCAGCTCCATCTTTTAACATAAATTTCAAGGGATTCGTCAGTGATACATCACCGCTTTCAGCAGTTGGATTAGGGTGTGGAACAGGTGATGAGCTAAGCTCAGTTTTCTGGAGATTAATTTTACATAACTAATGGAAACGTTTAACAGAAACCTTTGTATCCTTTGTGAGACCTGCTTATAGCATTCCCTCCCTGCCCCACCCCAGGGAAAGCTGTTGGCTTTCCTTCTACCTCCCTGTAAGCTTTTGGTATCCATTATTTCTGTTTCCCAGGCTTGTTTCTGGGCTGATGGCCGCAGAGGCTGTTCATTCAGCTGTCCTAGCACTGCAGTTAAAAGTTTCCTTGACCCGGGCTCAGGGCACCAGCACAGAGACCATCATATCTCCTAGGTACCTTATTTTGCAAACTGTAGTGAAGGTTAAGCCTCTTTCCACAGCAGGGCTGAATCTAAAGGGGAATATTTAGATAAAGTACAGAAGGAAAGTTGGGGTAGAGTTTTAAGAACTGCGGCAGGTGTTTCACCTGGATTAGTGTATCAGGAACAGACATCTTTCACTGTACTCAGACTCAGTTTTTATTAACTGGAGCTGAATGCAAAAATTAAGTGGACCTCCCAAGGTTTTTGGGAGTCTTGGTGTCGTGTTTGCATGCTCTGAATATCTCTTTAATGTTGCTTAAACACAGATACTAAAAATCTACTGACTTATCGAGCCTTTTAAACTAGTATCTTTGAAACAAATCATTCCCATCAGCTAAAGAAGACAGATTTTCCAGGATTATTTTGCGCAATATGCCCTTTAAGTTCCAGATTTGAAAAGTAAAGCTGGTCTTAAATTTGCACAGCAGGATAGAGAAAAAGAATTTAGCCTAAAGTCTCAGCTGCTGTTAGCGTTGGAATTCAGCAGCAATTTGTAGTACGTGAAAATCTGCGCTGTGGTATCTGAAGTGTAATACCCCAGCAAAGAGTGAGATGGTTCACTCTGTTATCACTTAACGAATCTGCTCTGGAGAGCCATGTTATCACCAGATCCAGGATAGAGATGTGTAGTCTTATTGCCTGCAACTTGGACACCCACTGTCCTTTCACTTCAAGCAATATTTGAACCCCCGGTACCTGTTGCCTTCCAGCCAAAGCAGTGTGCCTGTGCGGATAGGTGGGAGGTCTCGGATGCCTGCTCTGCCCACGCTGCGAGCCAGCCTGGGCTGGAAGCAACACAGGCATGTCCGTACAGTGCTAAGCCTGAGCTGTTAAGCCCCGCTGAGCAGCATGGCTATATCAGTCTCTACTCTGTTGTTAGATTAAAAGTTATTTTGGCCTTCCAGTTGGAGCTGGCTTATGTCTGGTCAGCTTGGAGTGTGGTTGGAGCAGATGTGTGGCTGTCTGGGTTGATGCGAATGTGTCTGCCCATCAACAGCTCAGCATTTGGAAGCGGCGTGCGCTATCTCCTACTGCATAGCAAGGAACAAGGTTTATTTTAGAAGGGCCTAGCCAGCTTTCAGATCTGGAAGCAGAACTGAGAAGCTGGACACTTCTCTGCTGTGGACAGCCTTTTTTGTTTTTCTGGCAGATCACATAAGATCCACTTCCACATTTCAGTGCTTACTTCCCCCTTTATTTTCAGAATTGAGCATAACGGAGTCACTTGTTCACTTGTGTTACTTGCTGTTCTGATCTCAGGGTTTAGTACCCTGTTAGGCACATGTAAAAAAAGGAAAAAAAAAATATCCCTGTTTCGATTATGTAACTTCTTAAAAATCCATCTCATTTTGGAATTTCCAGCTTGCTGAAGTAGCATAAGTTTGTAGAGAGGCTTTAATTATCTCTAATTACTGCTGCAGGAATCTCTTTACTTGCTGATAAGGAATAGCATAATGTGCATCTGGCTCAGTTGCGTGCTGATTACCTTTGTGTGTACACTAAAGATCTTGGCTTGATTTTCAAACATCAGTACTCATTTTGGGGTTAGCAGATAGGAGAAAAGGTCAGGGTCCAAGCAATCTGGTGATGTTTGTCAAAGTTTAGAGGAAAAAGTGATCCTCTTGAGTATTGTCAATCATATGTTGTCTCGGTGTCTCTGGTGGGAAGTTTTTTGGGTATTTTTCACAGCAGCAATGGCTTGAATCATTCTAAAGATACTTTTCAGCCAAGTTTGATTGTTTTTCTCCCCTGTTGTAACCTACGCTCCCATATGGTGGACAGGCGTGTGTCCATTACAACTGGCAAAATAGGAAAACAAAGTGCTTCAGCCCTGAGGCTTTTCGGTTTTGGTTTGAATGCCCATACATTTTATTTCCCTTTTTGTGCTCTTACGCATTGTGTGGAGTCACTGTTCTTGCTGGCAAGTACCCGATAACCCCGCAGGATCTGACGCTGAGTCCATTGAGGTGCATGAGAGTCTCTGGAAGCCTCTTCAGTGGTGGAGGTTTGTCCAGAAGGTGAGACGGTGGCAGCACATTGTGTCACCACTCATTGCTGACACTGACTTGGAGCATGGTGCCAGCTGCAGCCAGAAGAGTCAAATGGTGTCACTGTGTGATTTCCAGATTGTCCAATTTACAGAAAAGCCTTGTTTGGGGTTTGTAGGCTCCCAGGTCCTACGGTTGTTTTTCCTAGTGATGTTCTGTAAACTTTATAGGGGAATTTCTAAAGTCTAAAAGGAATAGCAAGTTTTTAATTAAAGATTGTTCATCCTGAAAGAGAGGATGAGACAGAGGAAAGTACTTTTTTAAAAAATAGTTCTGTTGAGTAACTGGAGACGCTCAGCAGAGAAGTCTGAGGACAGTTCACTGCAGTTCTGTGATTGAAGGGCATTAGTTTTTTTTACTTTTCCTGCGCAATGTACATTACCACATCGGAGCTGATAGATTGTCAAAAGCCCTGCCGCTCTGTTGCTCCTTGTTGCAGACTATTTCCCTGCTGGGGATGTGGCCCTCCTTGGAGGTGGGAGCTGGCCAGGCTGGTCGGCTGTGGTCAACTTGGTGCTGTGCTTTTTCTCATCAGGGCACTTCTCAGAACACGTTGTTCCTTGCCAGGGCTCTTGTCTGTCTGTCCCAGACAGGAACATCTTCATAGCATTAGCCTGCATGGACATCTGTATGTGCTCTGTTTGCGTTCTCTTCCTTCCCCATGTGTGGGATTTTCCAGGACAACTTCTGGAAAGCTGAGTGTTTCATCATGTTTTTGGTTGACACGATGTAAATTACTTTTGAGCACAAACTCACACCAAGAATGTAAGTAGAACATCGAGACCAAAATAAGCTGTGGAAGACACTTGGGACTGCATTTGCTGTCCTTTGCACATTCAGTGCAGTACTGTATTCCTCTTGTTGTGCATGTGTTGACCCATGGAAGTTCAGCTTTAAATAGAAACTTATATAAAAATACGAGAACTAGAGTATTTCCCTTCCTCAGAAGGATGACAATATTCCAGTTGCAGTTACTGCATTGAGAGAGCAATGACAGTTGTTTCCAAGCTCAACAGACACAGACATAAAGATGATACTAGAATGATGACACTGTACTTCAGGCTGCTTTTTAAAAAAGAAAAAATAAGAAATTGATCCTATATAGCTTCCTTTGCATAATATGCTGGGAAGCCAATACTGTCAGGAAGCATGGCCAGTTTTCCAGCCTGCCTGTAAGAGGGCATGTGTTTGTATCTGTGAGCAGCAGATCTATTTGTCAGCCTCAGACATCCATAAAATGTTCTCTCCATCTTTCTGGCGTGAATGATTGTTGTTTTGACTGCAGGCAGACTTGTAGTTCAGGATTATCATGCCCTTATCTCTTTATCCAGAGCCTTATCTGCTTATAACAGATACACTACAGTAGTTCCTTGAATGATTAAGACTTCCACTGCTAACATGTTAAAAGATGGCTTCAGGAGAAGCAGGCCTTTTAATAAAAGTGTTCACTACTTAATTTGTTGTAAGATGCCCAACAGAAAACTTGCTTTTTGAAACAAATACATACTTGCTTATAAAATACAAAGCAATTATTTTTTTTTACTGGCTAGGTGAAGTACTCCACTGTGCAAGACTTTTCTGTACTTATGTATGTAAAGTCAATTTGCCATTATCTAGGGTGCTGTGGGGACTGGAACTCATTTGTGACGATAGAGGAAAGAGGAAGCACAGCAAAAAGACACACATGTGGGTTTGTGCAGAATCCCCATGGGGCTGGGCTTTGTGAACTTAACTCAAATATGGCTAAACTACTACAGAGAGAAGGCTGCTCCTTAGCAGCAGCGCTGTATCATTTGTACAGCTCTGTACCAGACTCACACCCAGCTCAGCACTCTCTGTGTCTGTGCCATCATTAATCCATAACCTGGGTAACCAAGAGTTTGTTGCAGTAGCATCCCTTTCTGTCCTAGGATGTTTGAGTGCAGCATTCAGCAAATAATGATTATTCTCTTTTCTCTTCTCTTCTCTTCTCTCCATCCATCAGGAGCTGGTCAGACTCACCATTGAAAAGCAGGAGCATCCCTCTCCCACAAGCCCAGTTAAACCCAGTTTACCAGCATGTAAATCTGACAGGTGGGTCACTGGCAAGAATTTCTTCTGTCTGCAGGAGTAATATAGAAGGGATATACTGGCTACTGATAGTTGAATTAAAGCATTCAGTTGTTCTTCACAGAGGGTAGTGTAGTGTGCTTTATGTAGCTTCATCCATCACAGTGGGACTGCTTCAAGAGAATATGCTATGATAGGGAACATACCAAAATCTGGCAATGAAACATCGCTTGGCCATGACATGTTCACATTGTATTCTGCATATACATGGAATTCCATCTACAGATGCAAATTCTGCCTTCTGCTGTAGGTGTCTCTCATATTGCATATGATTTAAAATATGTATTAATCTGTCAGCATGCTGCATTCCAACTGTGGTTTATGATCTACAATCGCTATTTTGCTTGTTGCAGCCCATCAGAACTTCCCCTTACAGACCGAGAAATGGAGATCCTCAGCAAAACAACTAATATGACTCAATCCAACGAGCTACTGACTGACTCCATGGATGAAGAAGTTGCACCTCCTAAACCCCCTCTGCCTAGCATTCGTGTGGCAGAAAACAGGTAATACTGGCCAGCTGGCTGACTGAAAAATACCAGTGGCTCTTACCAGCTTCTTTTTTTTAAACAATCTTGCAAATTGTGCACAAGAGAGGTCATGAGGAGGTTTAGCGATGCCTCTGAATTTCCAGTCCTCCAGAGTAATTCTTCGCTGCTCCTGGACTCTGTTTATGACTTTGTGTTCTCTGTCTTGTTTTGAGCAGTACCCTTCATTATCTGTGTTTGCCTTTCCTTCTTTTTATGTGAGGATAGTGCCATGCACTGAGATCCATGCATGAGAGGCATCATATAAATGCATAAGAACCTTATGTGAATACCACACTGTACAACGGTATCTTGTGCTGTTATATCCAAAGGGAAATGTTCCGTTAACCTCAGCTGGCAGTTATCAATCTGTCCTGCACATCCAGGTTGTTCTGCATTGCTTATCAGCTTAAGAGTGAAAGGAGCCAATAGTGCATGAAAAAAGTCTTTTACTTGGTTGTTCTTACCCTGTTCTACGAGTAACCACGTGAAAGTTTCTATGTTCTATTTTCAGAAGGAAGAGAAAACCCCCAATTTGCAGGTTTTAGGTCTGAGTATGATGTTTTTCTTCTCTAGTACTGGTTCTAATGGATAGTGTGAAAAATACATGTCAAGCGCTAATTTGAAAATGCAGCATCAAGGGCTGTGGCTGGCCAAAAGAATCACATTTCTAAGTATTTTATGAATTCTCATGGGTTCTATAAAAATTTCCTTGTATGGTCCAGGAACAGAATATATGTCTTCTTGGGAACCTCACAGGCTTGACGATGACCAGAGTTATGTGTCCTTAAATTCAAAAACTAAAAATACAGTGGTTAAAATCTCACTAGTTACTGCCAATGTGTGTATCTGAAGCAGCTTCATGCCAAAACATGGGCCCTCACAGTTACATGTTGAGAGCAACGCTCACCGTCTTGTTCCCTGAAGTTCACCAGGAGAGTAAAAGGGCAGAAAAAGATTTTTTTTATTTTTTTACTTCTGTGAATGGAAACAATGTTTGGGTCAACCAAAATATTTAATTTGGATTTTCACCTTATTAAAGAATAATTACTGTGCTAATTAGCACCATTAAAAATAATTTTTAAAACAGCAATTGGTTTTGTTTGAGAAATGCCAACTGTTTTCCAACCTCAAAAAATAAATCACTGTACAGGACCTTACCTGCCAGATATTCTTAAATTGATATTTGTTAGTGGATACACTTTGCTGAATAGCTCCTGGCCAGCTTTGGACAAGAACCTGTTAGTTTTCAGCCTGGTAAATCAAAGCCTTTCTGGAAAACAGGCTCGTGAAGCCTCTGAAAGTCTTTTTGCTGGAAGAGTAATGGAAGCATCAATGCCTGTTGTGTCTTGCAGCCCTCCACCAGCATTGCCTCCTAAAAAACGGCAGTCAGCACCTTCCCCAACCAGAGTGGCAGTCGTGGCCCCCATGAGTCGAGCCACCAGTGGGTCCAGTTTACCTGTTGGAATCAACAGACAGGTAATGGCGTAAGCCCTTTGTGAAAGCCGAGGGAAACGTGCTGTGAACTGAAGCAAAAGCTGAGAGAAATGCTGTGACCTGCAGCCGCGCAGTTCCCTGCACGCCTCTGCTCGTCCCAACAGCCCTGTACGGGAGAGCTCTGGAGTTCTAGTGGCGGGAACACCAGTGTAATAAATAATGTGAACAGTTCAAATTTTTTTTTTACAGTGTTGTTGGATTTAATTAACAAATTGCTACAAACTTTGTTGCCTTGAGCTGTAGCAGAGTGTGACGATGTGAGCAGTTGAGTGTTGCTATGTTGAATAGATCAGGTACAGAGTGGTTGGCTTGAGCTTACTGAGATCTCACCAACGTTTGCTTACAGGTCAAGGGAGCACATGGCATATTGAGATCAGGTGTCTGTCTTCATCCAGTCACAGTTTAAAACATCTTTTAACCCAAGCAGTAGTTTGAGCAACTGCTCTGACTACTGCTGGTGCTTTGGGGAAATTTGTAAATTTTCTGGTAGAAAAATTGAAAACTTGGGACTGTGTGTGTTAATCATATTCCATCACTTGTGCTAGTCTGGGGTTTATGAGGTTGTAAATGGCTGGGTTTGCTTTACACATTCAGGAACTTACTAACTCAGCAGTGGGGACCTAGATCATATTAAATTGCACCAAAATCAAATCTTGTCCTCATCCCCAAAGTCTGAGCTCTGGCTTAGGGAGCCTCTGCAGTTGTTTGGCTGACTCAGGTAAAGCTGTGCAGCTCTTCAGTTGCTAGTACAGTCACATTTAGGTTGCTTGGCTGCCGTGGGAATACGTAAGGGGTTCACTCACAGTTTGATAAGCTTGAGGTAATTTCCGAAATAGAAACGTAGTCATAGGCACTGAAAGTTGTATCTCACTGTAGCTTATTTTCCCTTTGCGTGCACTTAAGCTAACCAAATATTTGCTAAAGCCCCAGCTATTTAATGAGAAATCTTGCGGTCTGGTGAGCTAGTATCAGTGTCTTGACAAGCAGTCATCAGGCGTGTGTGGCAGTGAGGAACTCAGTTATCTTCTCTGTGAAGTCCAGAGTGGGTCACAGCACACCCTGCCTGAAGCAAGAACACACGGAGCTCCCTGGTACGGGCTGTTTACCAAATCCGAGGTTTTCTGTGGCCCTGATGAGCCTGTCTAACTAGAGAGGGCTAGCAGCACTGATCCTCTCTGCTCCTGGTTTTCTTAACACAGCTATGAAGTGTTTGCTCTTGGAGCTGCATCTTGCTTGCTAGCAAGCTGCCAAGAATGACAGTGACTTTTTTTTTTTTTTTTTTTTTGCTTAAGGATTTTGATGTGGACTGCTATGCCCAGAGACGGTTGTCAGGTGGAAGCCACTCCTATGGGGGGGAATCTCCTCGCCTCTCACCGTGCAGTAGCATTGGCAAACTCAGCAAGTCTGACGAGCAACTCTCTTCTCTGGACCGCGACAGTGGTCAGTGTTCCCGCAACACAAGCTGTGAAACGTTAGGTAAGCAGGGGGTTCTCCAGGGCCGCTGGAGGAGCCCCCTTCGTTTGGGAGCTGTCATAGCTGTGATAACAGAAGTAAATGGATTGCGCTTACAACTGTCATCTTGTAGTTGCTGCAGGTGGTTCTGTGCAGAATTATATTCTTTCGGATAGGAAAAAGCCCAGAGGAATGTATTCCCCTAGCTATAGATGATTGTGTTCAAACTCAATTCAGCTCTCAAGTGGAATGTTTTGTTGATTTCAGCCTTGTCTGCAGAAATGACAGCCCTGGTAGACTAAAGCGATGTTGTTTCTATGTACTAGGAAAGAAAATAAAACTATAAATATAAAACATAATGTCTGCAATGATCTACCTATTGAATTTTTATTATTTGTCTGCTAGTGTAAAAAAAAATAACGATAAGAGTTTTATTAAGGCTGGACATTACAGAAGGTGTGGCAAGATGGTCCCTGCCGCAAGGAAGTGCCACTCTGATTAAATGACCTTATTAATTAACTGATGGAATGGGAGGGGCAGAATTGAGAAGGACTAAACGGTAAAAGAGAGAAACTAATGCATCATTCTCCTGTCCCATCTATTTAACCAGATCAATCGGATCACTATGATCCAGACTATGAATTCCTGCAGCAGGACCTCTCCAACACTGATCAGATACCTCAGCAGGTGCCAGGTATCCTCAGCCCGTTGCCAGAGTCCTTGGGTGAGTCTGGCTCCCCTTTCCATGGACACACTTTCCAGCTCCCGCAGAGCAGCTCCCCTCCACTGGAATTCTGCAGCCTCTCAGGAGCAGCGCAGCCAACAGAGACTCCTCCAGCTTTACCAGAAAAGAAGAGGAGGAGCGCAGCCTCTCAGACTTCAGATAACTCAGGCTGCAGGGTGTCCTATGAGAGGCACCCATCCCAATACGATAACATCTCGGAGGATGACATGCAGAATGCAGCGTCTGTCCCATCAGTACCCTTCACGCCGTTTGCTGCTGTTTTGCCTTTCCAGCAAGGAAACTCTTCAGCACCAGTTGAATTCATTGCTGACTTTGCTGCTCCAGATTCGAACAGTGACCCAGAGAAGCCACCACCTCTGCCAGAGAAGAAAAACAAACACAGTAAGCAAGTCTTTGTGTTTGGGTTTTACTTTTACCTTTACCTTTCCTTGCAGTTGTGCTTCTGATGACCACTAAGTAATGGTGACCTCAAGGTAACACCCTTGCTTTCGTGAGGCTGAGTGTCAAAATCAGTCAGTCAGCATCAGACACGTGGAAGGGAGGTGTCAGTCCTTTGGCAGGCAGGGAGTGACTCCGGGAGCCAAGAACGACCCAGGCCCAGGGGAGCTGGCGTCACGCAGCATCTTCATTCCTGTAGTGAGAACACACTTCTCTGTTTACCTGAGTGCAAATCTTTGAGGCGCTCTGCCTTGCATATTTTCCTGGTTTATCCTCCCCTTTTATATCCATTCCCTTCCCTCTGCCCCTATTTTATGAATGTTTTCCTACTGCAGAAAAGAATTCGGTACTCTCCATGAGCTCAGAGAAAGGGCTGCTTTTCTGTACAAAACAGAGCATTGCCAGAGCAGTTCTTTGGCAATAGGAACATAGTCACCCACATAGCTGTGGAAGACAACACTGTTAACCTAGTGTCCAGTACTGCTGTTTTGCTACAGAATCTCATCTTTCTTTGCGTGCCTAAGAATTTCCCAAATAGTTAAAATGAGCAGCCTCTAAATGCGAAGGTTCGCCATCCCCAGCCAGACTCCTGGCACACCAGTGCTGACTGTGACTCAGGCTTATGACCTTATTCTGATTTCCCTCATGTTCATGGCTGAAAGCATGTGAAACCTCTTGCCAAAAAAGCAGCCATACTGATCTGCCAAGGAAGGCTGTGGACTACATAGTGAGATCAGCAGATGTTAGTTTACTAGTCACTGGCTTGTTTTGCAGTTGTATGTTGCATGAGGAGGTAGCGTATACAAGCTCTGGATCAACAGCGTTCCATTGTTTGGATGGCAGCCCAAGTGAAGAGGTGATTCGAAAGTGTTGAGTTGTCCTTCTGACTCATTTCTACAATTTATAGTCTTTTCACATAGAATAAGGTGGAAGTGAGATCGGTGTGTTGTGCGGCAGGGTCAGTATTCTGTCCGTTCCTATGGTAATGTACTGTGCCAGTCACTTTTTTTAAAAAGTGCATTGGCTAAAACCATTTCCATTATCCCCAAGTGACCAGTCCACATTTGTAACCCTCTGGGATTTTACTCAGAGCACAAGGCTTGACCCACCTGAAAGTGAGGGTCGTCTTGTAGTTCAGTGTCCCCATATGCAGGAAATCACTTTTGTCCCTCTCTGGTACACAGGCAGTTCAAAGATACTGAAAGTAGCTAAAAAGGAGCCGAGATGGTTTTTTGTAGACAACAGAAAGGAAATAAATGCTGGCACAGGGCATAGCCAAGGTTATTTGCTAGGGCTCGTGCTGTTCAAAATACTCGCCCACAGTACCAGCTGCAAGAGGATGTGATACAGAAACTCCTTATGTATGATCAGGCCCTTGTGGGGCTGGGTCCAGGGGGTTTTACACCATGCAGACTGGGATGGGTGCAGGGAAATGCTCCCGTGCACATAGGCAGCTTTAGTAGGGGGAGACGCCTGAATCAGTCTTGGGTAAGAGGCAGTTTGACAGTTGAAAGAGAGACCTGAGCTGTCTGCTTTTCTCTTTAAGCCTTATGTCTTTGTTTTGTGTTACCATATGAGATGTCAAGGAGTTACTTAAAAACAGTTTTTAAAGCTATGTTCTCCATTGCCTGTGCACACTTTTTAACCTCAGTACCAAGGCCTTGTATATGAATTTTCTTTGATGTTAGAATAGAGTTAATTGTCATCTGGCACTATCAGAAGCTCTCGAGTATTGATCAGATTGCATTGTTAGGAAAGGTAGAAGCTGTTATCTAATGTGTTGACAGCTCTGATGGTTTGATAAAGCTTCCTTGCTGCAAAGCTTGTAGTAGTATTTGGGCTGATACCCAACTGCTGCGGATTTTTAATTGCATTCATGTGACACTGAGAACTTGTTTTAGATTGTTTTTACTCCACAGTATATCACACCACAGATCTGTGGTTGTTAGTTTTACTTTTATTTTCAGCATTAAAAGGGCAGTAAAACATTACTCAGGCTGTATGCTAGCACCCAAGATTTTTTTGCCTGGAGGCTGATGCATGTAGATATTCTTGTGTGATCACATAAGTGAGGCAGTGCTGCTTCCACAACCCCAACAAACTCCCGGGATCCGGAGGAGATGCATGAATTTATTAAAAAGATCTAGAGCTCACACAGATGGGAGTTGGTTGTAGTCTCTTTGTTGTGGGTCATCTTTCGGTAGTTGGCAGCAAATGTTGCAGCAGAGACTTTGATGGTCTTTTTATTGGTAATATATAGCAAATCCTGCTTGAGTTAACCATGTGTATTGCTGTGAGCTGTGCTCAGAGAGACCTCCAAGAGTTGACTTCTGTATAATTTAAACAGAGGAGTAATAAGCTGTTTAGTCTGGCATGAATTATTATTTTACTGTGCTGTAAGAGTACATGTTACTGTGCTAAGGGCAAATTACTCCAGACTTCTGCTTGACCACCAACATCATGTTCCTGCTGTACAAGACACAGAGATGGAGCAGCTTCTGCTATGAAGAGCCCAGAGTCAGAAATAACAAGATCTTTCCCCTAAACAGATTGCAGACTAGAAGTGAGGCACTTATTCATGTTTCCCTCCCTGTCAGTGGGAACAAAATGCAGCCTGGTGCCCTGTAAACAGCTGGTATTTAACTGCAGGAACCACGCTGAGGGCAGTCTGGGCTTAGCCAGCGGATAATGTGAGCTCTTTGAGAAACAGCTCTCCTCCCAGAGGTGACAGCAAAGACTGATTTATTTGACCTTGACGTCTCCATTGAGTTGCTGTGCAGTATAGCTTAAGAATTTCCATTATTTTGGCTCATGCCCATGCACACAAATCTGTTGCGCTTGTGCAGGGCCAGTTGTAACACAGGCTGCTGACCCAGCACCAGGACTCAGGCCAGACCTTCACTGAGTCCTCTGCATCGGATACTACTATGCCTTACCTATATTGCAAATGTGCCTTATTGCTGATAATCTAGCAATTCCTGGCAGACTCCAGCAACCACTGATCCAAGGGTGTTTTCCTGACAAGAGTTCGCTTGCTGCTTTCTCTCGTCTCCTGCAGCAAAGTGCTGCTTCCAGGACCAGCAGCTGCTCTCCCTGGCTGCAGAGCGCCAGCTGCACAGCAAGCAATACCTATGACTTCTACTATGTGGGCAGAACTGGTGTGTGCTAGAAATCCTTGAGCAGCTTTAGCTCCTTCAGAAATGACAGCCAAGGCACTGCAAGCAGATTGCTGGGAAGGTGTTCCTCTCCTCAGTCTGAGATTATTTTTTTTATTTCAAATATTTTCTGTCTGGGTTCAGAACTGACATAAGCTGGGCATGTGGTTTCTCTCTCTCGCCTCTTTTCTCTCCCGGGGTGCTGCCTTGAGACTGTGTTACTCCACCCCAGCTGCTCACCATGGAGGTTGCAGCCCCCATCCCTCCCTCTGCACAGAGTCGCTGCAGGGCGTGCAGCCTGATCTGAGCTGGTGATGTAATTTCCCATCTGCTTTTTAAATTTCTGCCTTGTTAAAAACCACAGCAAAGAGGGGGGAGAGAAGACCCTTTGCAAACAGCAGTCTCAGGAGTGGTCCTGCTCCCTTACTCTCCTGTTCAAGACTGGCAGCATTTTAATGATGCCCATTTTAATTTACACTCTGCAGTCTCTGCTCCTGAGCCAAGTTTGTATTTCACCATCTCAATTGTTTTTCATTTCACCTCAAAACAGAGAAGACAAAGTAGAAGCAGAGACATGCTTACCTGCCCTGGACTAGTTGTAACAAGCAAGGCAGGGGAGCTGCCATGACGATGGGATGCATTAGCCTCATAAAGAGCAGAGATAAAAGAGCTCTTCATTATTCCCTTGCAGATTGAGTTAAGGCTCTCAACAGCATTCAGGCTTACTACCTTGAGTTACAGTAATTTAATTTTACGCAAGTGTCTACTGTGATACCCTTTTCACCAACACTTCCCAAGTGGTGCTGTCAAACAGACATCTGAACCCAGGAACTCACAGCTATCGATCCGGAGTGTTGTCTTCAGGTCTAGATGTTAAGTGTAAAGCACTGTAAAAAGCACTGTTTTTGTAGGTTGAACCCCACTTGAGGGGTTGGTCTGAATTTAGCAATGTCAGCTGCATTACACCAGGACTGCTAAGCCAGACTTCTTGGCTTTTGTCCTACTCGATTGATGAGCTCTCAAAACATGGTCTTTTCCCTCAAGCTGTTGTCCTCTACAGTTCTCCGAGGAGTCTTGATCCTTAGTTCACTTTTGCTGCTAGAGAAATATCTTTCATAAGCCTTCTTTAGATCTTATCCTCTAAAGTCATTGTATGACACCAAGGCATTTTTCAGGACACAGGTATTAATAGGAGTACTTTAGTCAACTGAATCACTCATATTTGAAAACAGTATTTTAGCAATTCTGGTTTTTCTACACGAAGACTCCCTCATCATGATTTCAAATAAGAGAATATTGCCAGAACACACTGCTTTTCACTGTTAGGACTTAGGCTGAAATTCACGTGCCTGAACAATTTGATCTTGGCTTTAACATGAGTGCCGACACCAGCAGATGAGCGGGCACAAACACCCCCCAACACACACGTGCGTGCAGTTTGAAACCTCTGTCACACTCCCTTCGAGAAGGAGAGGTCTGAACAGCAAGGGTGGTGGCTTACATCAGTGAAGTGGTGCTGGGGGAGGAAGAGGAGCAAGGCTTGGGTAGCAGGGGGCGTTGGAGGTCAGAATTTCAGCAGCCTTGGCAGAGCTGTGCAGGAGCTGGCAGTACTGCGGGACACGAACAGGTTGTCCGCTGGCAGGACCGTGTGGGGTCACAGGATGGGGACAGCAGGTGTTACCGGTCGGGATTGAAATCCATCAGCCGAGGTTTCCTGTGCTCCAATTGCCACGATCTTTTTTTCTTTTTTTTTTTTCTTTATATTTTGGAGGAGGGATATAATTCTGTGGGAAGGGGCAGCTGTGTTAAGCTCCATTTCTAAATGGAGTTTAAAATATTAGAGGAAGTCTGAAAAAAGGTGCAAAAGACAGGTGCAAAGCAACTCCTTCCTGCCGACACATTCACACGGCTGCATCCTGTTTGAAATCGGCTGACCTGTAGATCTGCATTGGCAGGTGAACAGAGGGCTTTGCCTTGCAGCGAGTGTAGGAACCGGCTTCACGATGTGCAAATACTGCATTGTGGTTGTTGTATTTATAGCTTTCACTGAAGTCATCCATTCTTTTCAGTTGTACAACTGAAATGCCAGCAGAAGCTGAATAATTGCCACCTAATGACCAGATTTACAAAATCTGAAAACTGCTTGTTTATCAGGAAGAAGGGAAGAATGATCACAGAGTATCTTGTGCATGACAGCATATTTACCAAGAGGCCTTGGTTAGTCCTTTTTATGATACTTAAATACATCTGTTGCTCCTGTTTTTGGGTATATAGATGAGAGTTCTTTATTTTACATTTATTAAGTACACTTCTGATCCTTAATAATTCTGGGGTTTTTGTAGTCTTTCTGTGACACTGGGTGTCATTCTCCCCCTCCAACACTCAAATACTGCAGCAGTAACTAATCCTCTGTCAGAGCTGCATAGGCAGACCTGTGTGGGTTTTTTCATAGATTTTGGAAGGATATCGTACATATGGAAATGTCATTTAAATGAGATTTGATCCCATCTAATATTTCTATTGAACCACATCTCAGAAAAGCTTTTGAATCAGTTGGATTCAAGAATTGGAGATGGTAAGATGCTTTAAAAAGGGATGGGCGCAAAGAGGGTAGGAAGGCGCAGTCAGTGGCACTTTTAAAAGGTAAGTCTCTTGTGCCAGCATTGGCAGTGACATATAAATAGCTGAGGGAGAGGTACACCTAAGTCTCACAGGTGGGTGTTTTCTGATAACAGTTTTATTAGCTTCCTAGAATGGAGAAAGGCTGTAACCCTCCTCATTCTAGAAATCTTGCTGACTACTGATATGAGACTTATTATAGGCACAAGAATTATTACAGGTTTATTGTCAAGGTTGTATCTTTGTACAAAATTATTTGTGCCTCCTAGAAAGCAGACTGAAGTTAATCTCTTTTGTTGGTGACGTTGGGCATTAGCTGTTGAGGAATATTCTCAAAATTGCCATGAGGAAGGGATTTGGGCTGAGAGTCAGTGAATCAGACTTCTCAGGTAGCTGTTCAGAGACCTCACTGGTTCCTTAAACTGTTGTCAAATGCGTTTGTGGCCTGTGAGTATTTGTTGTGTGCTGGCTTGCAGGACAGGATAATCAGATCCTTTCCTGCAAGGTGGATGGCAATTGACTGCGTGAGCTACCTGTGAACACGGTGTGGATGCTTTGCTGCTTCCAGCCTGCAGCAAAGCCCGACTGACTGGCATGACCTTACTCTTATTTTATTTCGAGAATAAGTACCCTGCTTGCTTGTTGCAGCTGCACCATGTGGACCAGGAGCAGTGATGTGAGTGATGTGACCTTTTTTTTTTTTTTTTTTTTTTTTTCCCCAGTGATGGCGTATATGCAGTTTGTGGAAGACTACTCAGAGCCACAGCCGTCCATGTTCTACCAGACCCCTCAGAACGAGCACATCTACCAGCAGAAGAACAAGCACCTCATGGAAGTCTATGGGTTCAATGACTCCTTTATCAGCTTAGACCCCTCTCAAGATCTGGCACCACCTCCTGCTCTGCCACCGAAACAGCGGCAGCTGGTGAGTGACATCTGCAGTGCCCTGGGCAGGGCACACCAGCCTCCCAGGAACAGCTCTGTTCTCCCTGCTGCTGTTTCTGACAGGCTGCGGTGGTGGGAGGACATCTCGGTGGTGTTACCACATCATGCTCCTTGTCATCTTGTTAACATGTTTTTAGGTACCCCACGTTCAGACTGTTCCCCATAAGCACTGAAAGTCCTAAAATGCCCTAAAAATGAAACATTAGTCTTCCACATGGCATGGCTGAATCTGTGCCAGACTGCAGGCTTGCGTAATGACAACTGCTTTGAAGATTTTGACACACTGGGCAACACGATTTTCGAGAGATTGCTGCACTGTTGTTCCCAATGCTGTTTTGAAACTGTTGTCAAGGATGCCACTAATAATAACCATTTAAACATAATAACTGCTTTTATGGCTCAGTCTGGGCCAGAGCTGCAGAACTTTGGTTTAGCCATTATTTAGCTCGTCCACATTTTCTCCACAGTAGTCCCCTTGTGTGACCCAGGATTTTACCTGTTTTTCAGTGTTCTGCTGACCCTCCCAGCACAAAAAGGCACACCTACATGTGCATGTGTGTTGGGTGGGGAGTTTAACAGTACAGCCGGTGCCAATTTCCATGTGGGGAATGAAATCCTGGCCTCAGTGATGGCAGCAGCAGTTTTGTTTCCAGCCTCAGTGGAGCTGAGATTTTGTCCTATTTCTTTTTTAAGGGTCTTCATTTATTTTCTCTTTAACTCCAACGTTAGGGGGTTTGTTTATATTAGTTATCTGATTTGCTCTATTTAAAAAAAAAACAGAAAGAAAAAACATCTTTTGTGGTCATGTAGTTAAATTGGCTATGGCTTTAACAAAACAGGAGGAAATGTGGGAACAGAGCCATGGTCTTACCATCACCAGGGTGACTGTTGCAGTAATTCTTCATGTTATCTATGCTAAAATTTGACTGTCCCAGGGTGTTACTTTGTAATCAAATGGGGAAAGCAATGGAGAACTCTAGTTTTGGGATTTGCATAACTGCATTCCTGTGATGCAGGTAGGAGTCCTAAAAAGATAAGGTAACATTTCCAGCTAAGCTAAACTGAGTATTATGCATTATTGCTTTGTGGGGATGAGGCCTTAAATGCCCATGTCCCATCTGCTCTGCAGGAACACTGACGAGTGTACAGGACTTTTCTCTGAAGGATCAGGCAGAGTCTGATGGTCCCCTTGTCAGTGCGACCCTTGCGCTGTCACTTGTACCTTGTAGTCCCTTGCCCTACTGCCTCCTCCTAGAGGTGGCTACATTCTAGTGATAGTTTCCAGCAGTGACTTAGTCTAGAGAGGGTGTGTAAAGCACAGATTTACTGTAGCCATTGTGCAGAACGGAAATTCTGCTCCTTTTCTGAATTTATCAGCTGAAGCAAAGCATTTTTTTGCCGCCCTTCAATTGTTATCTGGGCAGCCAAGTTGTCACTGGCTTGCCTGCTAGGCATTCTTGTTGTCTTGCAAGCTGATACCATCAAGGTGTTGCTTGCAGTTCCCCTGAAGCAAAGGTTTCTTCGAGTGCAGCCTCCCACCCTTACCTTCATCTCTATTGGGAAAGTGCTGCAAGCAGAGGATGGCTCATTCAACAATCGTTGTAAAAGCCACCAGACTCTTGTTCTTCTGCTCCTGCTGCCCTGAGAGTTTCTGAAACAACAAATCACATGGGCATCAGCTGCTCTAGCAGCAGGCAAGTTTTGCTGGATGGACTTCTCTATAAAATACTAATTAGGAAGTCCGTTCCTGTGAGCTTCAGATCTTATTTATGAAACATTGTATGTTATATTCAACAAGTCAGAGCTGAGAAAGCCTAGATATATCTTAGCCTCCCTCAGACTCCTTACTATAGTCGAATTCAGGAGAAATTCCTTAATAGTATTTGTTACTTACAGTGTAATATCTCCCTCTTGTGCAAATGATACATAATTTTGGATTGGACTGAAAAATGGCTGGACATCCCTGTTATCCGGTATCTCAGCAGTACCAGTGAGGGCCCATGGATCACACTGGAGAGACCAAGTTTCCAGTCTGCAGGTTGCCACAAAAAATAGTAGTCTGCAAGAGTCGGCTGCTTAACAGCCAGAAGCAAGAGCCAGTTTTTCCTTTGGGCATCTGCCCCCCATGCTATGGGGAAAAAAGGGCACCGAGGACCAGCTTGCCTCTCCCGGCACAGCTGCCCGTGGGGGTAACTGGAAGGGGGAGGTGGGAGGTTATTTTTAACGGATTTGTGCAACAAAGAAGATTTGAACTGTGATTTTTGTCATGCCTCTTGAGCTCAAGAAAGGCGTATTGGTGTGTCTGGCTCTGATGAACTGTATGAATAGCTGTTTGGTTAGCAAGCCATTATATGCATTGTTTTACAGTTAGCATTTCTTACCCTTTATTCATAGCCTTTTCTGTGCTCTCTTTCTTTGTGTCTTCTGTCTCTTGCTTTCTTCCCCCTCTTCAGCAGGCCTCCTATGCTGCCTCTTCTTTCTCTTCTGTCTCCTACTGTGTCCAGCAAACTAAAGTGCCCTTCACCCCCGAGGACAGCGGTGCCACTCAGGGCCTCACTATGTCAGTCTCTAACTCCTTTCTCAACCGGCACAGCTCCTTTCCTGTGCATTCGGTGAGTTGCTCTCCTAACGTGTGTGCATATTTGTGTCGGTGAAATGCTTGTGTGCAAATTCAGTGCTTACGCTCTCGGTTGCAGGTAGAGGTGAAGGTTCTTTTGGGGGCTTTTGAACTCATGTATTAATCAGCCAGGTGAGAAAAACTGTGTGTAAATCCTACTAAATGGAGCACAGGGGAGGTGTGGCTTTCATTACTTCATATACACGTCGGTGTTGACATTCGTGGCGAGGACTGACGAAGGAGAGCTGGCCTGTGTGCCCAGGCACACTCTGTTGACCTACATGTTCCCCAGGCTGCACGCTGGAGCTGCAAAATCTTTTTGTTCCGTTGCGTAATGTCAGCGATGTGGATGAGTCGATTAAAGGCTGCTGTGTGAGTCTGGCCTTTGGAGAAATAACAAGATGCTGTCCCCGAAATACATGGATTTAGTCAAACGTATGAAACAGTGGCTACAGCTCCTTAATTTTTTTTTTTTCTAGAAAATGGCTTCTGCCAGATCTTTCATCTCATATTTGCTTGTCTGCTTACCTTCATGTCTCCGTGGTCCCAAACAAGCTCAGTAGGCTTGTATGATTTGCTGACGAATGAGCAGGGTTTTCTCTCCTAGACCTTGTGAACGGTCTGAAGAGAGAACAGCAGGAGGGGCTGAGAATGATTGAAATCAAAATAAGAATAATCTTAGAGCACTGCTTAAATCTGTGATCAGCTGCTTAAATTAAATGGTAGTAATAACCAAGTGTTAATGTAATGAAATCAAATCTAACCATGGGATTCCAACAGCTCATCAGTATGGGGCTTGTTTGCATGTAAAACTATGTGGTTATGCTCTGATTGCCGTGTGATGACAACTGAGAATAGGCTATTTTTTAACAGTGACCTGGATGTTTAGTAAATTAGACTTCTTCTGGAGAAGAAATTCTCAGACAAGTCTTGAGAAAATTCAGAAGTGTTCAATTATTTTAATATTAAATATTTGAAAATGGTATCCTCCCACTGTGCCACTGCTATCTTCCCATTTCAACACTTACTCATTCTCTAAAAATTAGTGATAATCATGGGTCTGAAGAAGAAGAAAGTATTCAAGTACTTTACAAGTAGCACTACTTCACAAGCAATGAATTAAAGCTTTTGACTTCCACTTGTATAAGAGTGCAGTTATCATAGTTTTGCTGCACAGATGAAAAGGCTGAGGTGTGGAAAGGTTAGTGCTTGCATAAATTTGTGGTAAACAGTTTTAAAATTTGAAGTAATGCAGAAGTTCTGAGTTGTACGGCTCTTGTTTGATAGTGATCCTTGCAAGCAAAATGCAGAACTGTAAGACTGAGTAAAAGCACTTCACTATTTTTGTTTTAATTGAGAGGCTATAAATATGATAGTATAATGTTCTAAAAATATGTGGGCACTTTCATTTAAAAAAGCATGCTGGTTGGATTAAATGGTTACTACCTACTTAATTGTTCTCACCTGTTCTCATCTTGCTTTGGACTACATTACTGTGAAGATATTATTTTACAAAATGTTAAAACTTCATTAAAAAATCCTTACTCATTTTTGCAAGGATTTGGTAGAGGAAAAATAAATGGCTGGAGCATGAGGAACAATGAGAACAATTAGTCAGTGCACTGTGAAATGCACAAAGGAAATAAGCTGAATTAAAAATGGTGATTTTTTTTTTCCCATTAATGCCTTTAAATTATGATAATCTCATAGTTGCTCATGACTCTAGCTGGTCTGTTATTTCACAGGCAAAAATGAGATTTTCACTATGACAGCGTCTCTTTGTCTCCGAGCTGCAAAATGCCAACGTCCTTACATGCATCATAGCTGACCCATGTAATACTATAACCAGAGTTTATCCCATGTTCCCTATCCCTAATAAGACAGAGAGGTGAACCAGCTGTCAAGGTTTGGATCATTCCCAGGATGACACCCTGCATTTCAGCACTAAGACGGACCAGAGCCCCTCTTGCAATCTGTTCCCGAGCGCTGGCTGGAAAGACCGTGCCGTTTCACGCTAGGGATGCCACAAGCTGCACCAGTAATGCTTTAAACACATCGCTCTGCTCCTCTTATTCTCATGTCTTCATTTTTAACTCTCTCACCAAAGAAAGGCCACTCCCGTGAGCAATAAACCTGCTAAAAAATAAGCAGTAGCTTTCCACCAACCCCAGCACGGGAGTTAATGCTAGAAGAGCGCACCCTTTGCATACCAGCCATCTGAGGAGTTGGCCTCCTGTGCACCTACATATCAGTGGTGATTATCAAATCTCTTCAAATGATATGTCTCCTACATTAATCGTTATCCATTCCATCCAGGAAGCAAAAACCTCCTTCAATCAATACCAGGAAGTCAGAGCTGATAA